GGTGGGGAAGAGGCAGGGCCTTGGATGAGGGGCGGGGGCAGGAGGCGGGGCCTCAGAGAAGGGGTGGGGAAGAGGCAGGGCCTTGGATGAGGGGCGGGGGCAGGAGGCGGGGCAATGGTGTTTGGTTTTGTGTGAGTATAAAGTTGGCAACCCTATTTAAAGATCCTTGCTCCTGGCTATGAGAGCGCTCTGGTTTTGTCCTGCTGTTCCTGGCCAAATGTTCCCCATTCCTCCCAAGTACTTTGCCACTCCCCACCCCAGAGGTGGCTGCATTTCAGCAGCACTGTCTCTGAATCAGTCTGGAGCCCTCATTAACGAATGATCTCCTCGAGTTCCTGCAGATGCATTTGGAGCCCCAAGGGGTGCTGGCAACTTTCACACTGACGGGGACTCAGGCAAAAAGGACAATGGTACCAGCGACAGGTCAGGGGGTGTGAAGGGCCAGGCTTTCCGAGGCTGGGGTCTCCCTCTGAAAAGCACCAAAGTGGCTTCAGAGCACAGCCCCCAGTAACCATAATCACCCTAATCGCTCAAGGCTTTTGAAAATGCCAGCCAGCGAGCCCAGGCCAGAGACTGCGAGCTGCTGGGTCCTTCACTAAAGGGAGCAATTAGAGGCTGAATGACTGCCTTTGCAAACGCCTCCCACAATGAGAGCCACCCTTCTGCTCCCCAAAGCTGGCCCTGCCAATCCAGGCATGGAGGTGAGAATGAAATGGCCACTTGGGAGCAAAGCAAAGGACTAAGTAGGAGGAATTAATCGATGTGGCTCAAACACCTGCCCGCCGGCACGTGGCACAGAAAATGTAACCCTTCATCTGCTGGGCAGCACTTTCCAAAAAGAGACAACTGCCAAGTCCTAATATTCCAGGGGTCTTGCTGGGACGCTGGTCCAGATTTTTAAAAATATGTAGGGGGCTCACTCCCATGGGACGGCCTTTCTTACAGGAGCTTCCCCTGCAGGACAGGAGCCAGGATGTACCTAGCACATGGTTCAGACGAGGATGGCTTTGCACTTACCTAGATGGTTTCTGAGACTTAGGGACAGCCAGAGCACAAGGTTGTGTCCCTGCCCCTCCTGGCTAATAGCCAGTGATGGACCTATCCTCCATGAACTTAGCTAGTTCTCTTTTGAACCCTGTTATACTTTTGGCCTTCACAATGTCCCCTGGCAATGAGTTCCACAAGTTGACTGTGTGTTGTGTGAAGAAATACTTCCTTATGTTTGTTATAAACCTGCTGCCTATTAATTTCATTGGAGTGACCCACGGTTCTTGTGTGAAGGGGTAAATAACACTTCCTTATTCACTTTCTCCACACCAGTCACGGTTTTATAGACCTCTATCTTATCCCCCCTTAGGCGTCTCTTTTCCAAGCTGAACAGTCCCAAGCTTTTTAATCTCTCCCCATATGGAAGCTGTTCCACCTCCTAATCATTTTAGTTCCAGGTCCAGGTACACTATATCGATGGGATCACTCTTGTCCACGTGTTTGCTAAGCCCCTCAAAGAATTCTAATAGATTAGTGAGGCATGATTTCCCTTTACAAAAGCTGTGTTGACTCTTCCCCTGCATATAGTGTTTATCTATGTGTCTGATAATTCTGTTCTTTACTATAGTTTGAACCAATCTGCCTGGTACTGAAGTCAGGCTTACTGGCCTGTAATTGCCAGGATCACCTCTGGAGCTTTTTTAAAAATTGGTGTTACATTAGCTAACCTCCCATCACCTGGTACAGAGGCTGATTGAAGTGATAGGTTACATACCAAATTAGGAGTTCTTCAATTTCACATTTGATTTCCTTCAGAACTCTTGGGTGAATCCAATCTGGTCCTGGTGATTTATTACGGTTTAATTTATCAATTTGTTCCCAAACCTCCTCCTATTGACACCTCAATCTGGGACAGTTCCTGAGATTTGTCACCTGAAAATAATGGCTCAGGTGCGGGAAACTTCCTTGCATCCTCTGCAGTGAAGACCGATACAAAGCATTCATTTAGCTTCTCGCAACAACCTTGTCTTCCTTGAGTGTTCCTTTAGCACCTCGATCATCCAGTGACCCCACAGATTGTTTGGAAGGCTTCCTGCTTCTGATGTACTCAAGTTTTTTATTTTTATTTTTTTTTGCTGTTAGTTTTTGTGTCTTTTCCTAGTTTCTCTTCGAATTCTTTTTTGCCTAATTATACTAGGCCTGCCTAATTATACTTTTCTTCTTGACATGCCAGAGTTTATGCACCTTTCTATTTTCCTCTGTAGGATTTGACTTCCAGTTTTTAAAGGATGTCTTTTTGCCTCTAACTGTCTCTTTTACTCTGTTTTTAACTATGGTGGCATTTTTTGGTCCTCTTTTTTTTTAATTTGGGGTATACATTTAATTTGAGCCTCTGTTATGATTTTTTTTAAATTCCCATGCAGTTTGCAGGCATGTCACTCTTGTGACTGTTTCTTTTAATTTCTGTTTAACTAGCTTCCTCATTTTATGTAGTTCCCCTTTTGAAGTTAAATGCTACTGTGGTGAGCTTCTTTGATATTTTCCTCCCCACAAGGATGTTAAATTTAATTACAGGATGGCCTCTATTACCAGCGGTCCAGCTATATTCACCTCCTGGACCTGCCCCTGTGCACCACTTAGGACTGAATCAAGAACTGCCTCTCCCCTTGTAGGCTCCAGGACTAGCTGCTCCAAGAAGCAGTCTAGAAAGTTTGGTGTCTAGAAAATTTATCTCTGCATCCCATCCTGAGGTGACACATACCCGGTCACTATGGGACTAGCTGAAATCCCCCATTATTGTTGGGTTTTCTGTTTGTTTAGCCTCCCTAATCTTCCTGAGTATTTCACAGTCACCATTCTGGTCAGGTGGTCGGTAGTATATTCCTACTGCTATACTTATATTATTCAAGCATGAAACTTCTATCCAGAGAGATTCTCTGGCACAGTTTGAGTCATTTAAGATTTTTCCAATATTTGATTCCGGGCTTTCTTTCATATACAGTGCCACTGCCCCACCCGCACGACCTACTCTGTCATGCCTAGATATTTTGTACCCCGGTATTACCGCATCACATTAATTATCATCATCCAGCGAGCTTCTGTGGCTGCCCCACTCCCCTGCTCACAATAATCTGTAAGAGACATTGATCCCAGCCTCCCCGCTCGGATCGGCCCACGGTAGCGGCGGGGGGAGGAATCTGCTGTGGTGCTGATGTGGTTGAACCCCGTGTTCCTTCCTCAGGAAAGCAGTGAAGGCCACGCTGGTCCTGCTGCCGCTGCTGGGCATCACCTACATGCTGTTCTTCGTGAATCCGGGGGAAGACGAGATCTCCCAGGTCGTTTTCATCTACTTCAACTCCTTCCTGGAATCTTTCCAGGTATGCGCCCAGCATCACCCCCTCCTGGCCAGAACCCTGCCAGCACCAGCAGGCCCACGCCCCCAGGAGATATGTCACCCAGCTGGAAAATGTGCCTGAATGTGCATCAGATTGAGGTCCCCAGGCCGTATTGAGACCAGTGGCCACCCTCACTGCTGGGTTCTACACAAAACCCTGTGAAATGGCAAGATTTTAGCCAGGCTGGCCCCACACCACAGCAAACCAGAGATTGGCTTAAAAATTGTGAGATTAAAGACATGAATTGAGGGGAGTCTATTTCTTTGCCTTCTGATTTCTGGGCCTGTCAGTCACACCTCGCTCACATTTCCAGCTTTTCTCTGCAACCACAGGGGTAGAAACTTCCTGTTTTGTTTAATGGCAGCCAAGATTCTCACTCCATCACTTGACTCCAGGAGCTCGGGCTTTAAGGAAAGCACACATGACAAGAATGGACATGTCTGATCAATGCAACGCAGGTGGCTATCAGCCCCAGAGCAGCCCGTGGGCACTGGTCCCCCACAGATCATAATGACTGTGTTTCTTTCTTCCAGGGCTTCTTTGTCTCCGTCTTCTATTGCTTCCTGAACAGCGAGGTGAGCATTTCCTGGTGAGGTGTGGGGATGGAAGGGGATCTCTCAGCTTTACGGCTTCCACATGGCGGTTCCCTCTGTGCCTGGCAAATGAAACAGCCCTGTCTGCCCAATCTAACGACTATTCATGGATGGGGAGATGGGCCCATCTGGTCACCCTGGGAGACCTGGGGTTTCCTGACACTTGGAGGCATAATGAAACAAATGTGGTGGTTTTAACATGTGTCCAAATCGGCTGGCAGGGGTATTAAAGGCCAGGGACCGAGGTGCATCGGCAGAGCTGGGTGTGGTCCCAAAGGAGTCAATTCATCAATGGGACCCATCTTCCCCCGGCAATGCCAGATCTGTTCCCGCAGAGCTTGTAATCGGCACTATTCACAAATACGCCAGCTCCCAGCCCTGCATTTCAGGAACAAACTCAGCACTGCATCGTCTGGAAGGCCAAGAGGCAGTCACAGCTGTATGCAGTTGCTACATTCCCTGTCTGTACTGAACAGATTCTGGGATTGTTGCCCTCCTTGGGCTTAATTTCCAAGGTACGAAACTGGTAAGCAGGAGACACACACACACTTCTGGGGAGAGCAGGTCAAAAAATGGCAAGTATTCGTCATGGGAAAACCTCAAGCTTGAATTGTTTTCATCAGAATTTCCCATTAAACTGTCTTGGGTTTGGGGGGGTTTTCAACAAAAAAAGGAAAACTGGAAACAGAAACATTTTCAGTGTCTTAAAAACATTTATGGGGGGAAAAGTTGGGGTTGGGGTTTTTTTGGTGGAAAGGGTCAGATTTTGCAAATCAGAAACCAAACATTTTCCTGAAAACCGAATATTTTCACCAAAGGCTTTTACTGAAAAAAACAATTAGGCCTTGGGAAATTTTGGCCGGAACGAAACTTTCCATACAAATGTTCAGTGTGGCCCCATTTTTCATTTAACTTCCTTTTCCATGAGGACATTTCAGCCCACTCTGCTCCCGTGGCCGGAGAAAGGCGCCGCTGGGCTGGCCGAAGGCGCGTGAGGCTATTTTGACGCAGTGCATGGGAAAACTGTCACGACGAGACCCCAGTTCAATTTGTCCATTAGGTGGTGTCCCTGTAAACCTTTCCTAAGATGAGCAGAGTTTGCCGGGGCTGCACACCAGTGTCGGGTGCACCATCTGTTTGAATACAGGGATCGGTTCCCCAAACCTAGCGCATTGTGACCCACGAGAAAAAGAACCAAAGCCCCTCTCTAGGCTAATCAGTTGTGTTTCTGTGTTTCACATAGAATCATAGGACTGGAAGGGACCTCAAGAGGTCATCTAGTCCAGTCCCCTGCCAGGACTAAGTATTATGCCTCCCTGCAATTGCTTTCACACCTTTGCTAGCTGTAAGAACGGATGGCTGGGTACAAGACAGATCCCGGGGGCCGGGGAACATAAAAAGCCTTTTCCGACGCCGAAGGAAACATGGCATCTCTTTGCTGTACCCGTCCATAGCCTTCCCTCGGGGAGAGACAGCTCCCAAGCCAGCAGCTCTGTGAGCTAACAGTCTGGTGTTTGCTAAAGAATTCACCCCCCGTGGCTGTTTCTGTCCTGGGAATTTTGTGGATGGATTTTTTTTATTATTATTATTATTTTCAAAAACTTTCTTTTTTAAACTGTTTCCCACCTTCTGCAAAGCGGCAAAATGGTCTAGTTAATAATTCAAGGATGAGATTGGCTTTGCCCTCCCCATCACCAAGGCGGGAGGGTTTGTTCAGTCACTGAGGATGACTCTAAGCTCCTTCATGGCTTATGCTTTGATAACAGGCAGTTTGCTGTGGTCAGTCAGGCCAAAAGTGACCAGGGAGCAAATCACTTGATGATCTCCTGGCCAGTTCATTCCCTCTGAAACACCTGGCATTGGCCACTGTGGGAAGACAGGATACAGGGCTAGATGGACCTTGGACCTTTGGTCTGACTCAATCTAGCCGTTCTTATGTTCTAAATAGGCCCAGATCCTCAAAAGTGTTTAGGCTCCTAACTTCTGGTGGAAGTAATTGAGGATTTGGGCCACAATGCTGGGCACTCAGCTATTTACCAATTCATCCTCACAACACACCCGTGGAGAATTAGCATGGCCCCTATTTACAGAGAGGGAACTCGAGAAGTAACATGGTGAAGGGTCATGCGGTGAGTCAGTGGCAGAGCTTGCAGTGCAACTGGAGTCCTGACGCCCACTTCCCTGCTATAACCACTAACCAGCACTTCCTCCCAAAGCCAGGCATAGGAGCCAGTGAGTCCGACTGCAAGTCCCTTCCTCTAATCCCATGGCAGCATTCCTGCCCCAACAGCCACTCCCAACAGGGAAGGAACATTAGCTAGAAAGGGGCTGAAAAGATAAATGTGCTGGAATGGCTCCTGGAGAGCTTGAAACCCCGAGGGGAGATGTGGGACGGGATGAACCAGGAATCCGGGGGGCTTTGCAATGCATGGAGGGGAAGGGACAGACATCTTGGTGACAGGATGCATTGCTGCAAATTAGCCAGCGCAGCGGAGGAACTGAAAGTGGGACTTCCAAGAGGGCCTGTTGGGAAGCAGCTCAGAATCCTTCCTGAGCCCACCAGAGGGGCAGTGAAGATGGGGACAAAGGAAGGCCGGTGCTGTTTTCTCCAGGTTACCCATGGAGGGTTTTAATGCAGCGTGTTGGAGACCAGGGAGCCGATGTGTGACTCTGTTATTAGCTTCCCTGCAGACTAGCTTGTAACCTCCTTGGGGCAGAGCCATGACTCCTCTGCGTGCCCTGAGCCCTCTTGGCATTCAGCACGTGGTAAATAATAACAGCACCCCTCTGCAGAGAGGTAGCAGCTGTCGGGACCTTGCAAGTCCGCTTCCTGTTAGAGGAGAAATCAGTAATGTGGAGGCTGGGGATATTGGTGTAATTTGTTTATTTATTGTATATTCATCAGTCCTGGAACAGAGGTGGGCACAGATAGCACACAGGCAATCCCCTCTTTCAGTACACACAGTCCAAATCCCAATGCCCAGCTCCCAACTCTATCCCC